TCCGCATTGCAGGCTCTTTCCCTCCTCCTTCCTGCCTTTTCTGGCTGCATGTCAGAGCCTGTCTTATGGAAAACAAGACAAAGGAAGTGATTTCATGAGTGCCTGGACCAGAATCCTCAAATCCACTATTAAAAATAACAACAAAAAGATTATGGCCATTATCTGTCTTCATGGGAGCAGGGCCGACCACGGGCTGGAAATGGGCCTGGCCGTGCTCCCCTGAGCAGGTGTTTGGTTTGGGCAAAGAGGACTGGCTGTTAGGAATTATGAGCAAGATCCTCCAAAGGGATCAAAACAAGAGTCTTAAGAAGGAAGAGAGAGGTTCCCAAGGGCCCCCGGCTTTGGTGACCTTGGAGCAAGGGTCACAAGCAGAGCCCTGCTCCAGGACAGCAGCCTGGGTTCTTGGCACGCTCACCTCTTCACCGTGTAGCCTTGAGCAAGCCTCTGAGCCTTGCCCCTGCAGCCTGCAGCCCACAGCCGTGCAGCAGGGTTGCTGGCCTACCCTGGCCAGGCTGTAGGGGAGGCCCAGGCCCAGAGGGGAGGTGGGCTTCCCCAGAAGCACTTTGTTCTCGGAAAGCACCCCGCTACAGTGGACTGACTGACACTGCATCGGGGGCCGCAGCCTCCTCGCCTTGTCCCAGGTTGCAGCCCAGGGCCAGAGGACCATCCAGCAGCAATTCTTTCGCCCTGGTCTGCAGGTGCAGAGGATGTGGTGATGGCGTTTTCCAGGTCGGAGACGGAGGACCGGAGGCAGTAGCTGCAAACCCCTTGGAATACCCTGGAGACTGGCAAAGGCCAGGAGATCTGTGTGGACCTCACCGGCTGAGTGGCAGAGGGTCACCTTCCCTACCCCGATCCCCCCACCCCACCCCTTCCCGTCCCGCCCCACGGCCACTCAGAATCCTCCAGGGAGACACCAGTGGTGCAGTTACGATTGGCTTAAAGGGACGGACTCATGATTGGCTGCGGGAAGAAACATTTTTATTTTTAAATCTCGACCAACGCAAACCTTTTTATTTCTGACTCTTATTTAAAAAAAAAAAAAAAAAATTGCGCCTCGGTGTATGGCTTCTCAGGAAGCTCTCCGAGCTCTGGTGCTTTATTTCGGTCACTTTTTAGGAATGTGAAGAGGTCCGATTGGCTGCTTAAACTGGAAAAGGATTTTGATTGGCTGGCTAATGGGAAACGGTTTTTTTTTTTTTTCTTTGATTGGCTGCAGGTGTTCTGCTGATGGCAACAGCTCCTCTCTTTTGAATGTTGAAAACAGGGTTTGGGACGTTGGTTGTTATATTTGACTTGAAAAAAGAAAAAAAGAAAGAAACCAAGTGCGCTTTGCAATATTTATTACACAAAGAGCTTGCTGCTGCTGCTTTGACGTGTTTTTTGTTTGTGTTTGCATTTGATTGGCTTTCGATATGTGTGTTTGGTTTCCCATTGGCTCACCCATGACTTCTGTTGCCATGGGCTGCCCACGCCCTGCTGCGTGCAGGCCCTCTCCAGCCCGGGGGTCCACCTAGAGAGTGCTTTTGCTTTAATGACCACACCAGGCTCCATCAGCAAGGGGACCCCTAGGACGCCAAGCAGGGCCCACAACTGGAAAACAGGGCCACAAGGAGGTTTGTGTTGTCCTGAACGAGCAGCCCAGAGCTTAGAGGTGACCATTAGCCAGGATTTACATGCATCACTTCATGAGTTGGCAACCAGCCAGCATCCCTTGGTGAGAATGGAATCACTCACACGTGCCATCCGGGCCTCTCCAGCCTGCCCGCACTGAGCCATTCGCTCCATATTCTACTTCCTGGGGCCTCATCGTGGGGGGCGGGGGAGGCTCCTCCTATAAGGGGCAGGAGCTGCTCCCAGCTCTGAGACCCCAAAACATAGCAGAGGTCTCTGCCCGAGAGCCCAGAACCCACACAAAGGCCCCAGCCTGGCTCACAAGGCCCAGGAGGCCTTTGGTGTGAAATGCACCCTCCCACCTCCCCCAGCCTCCTCCCGAGGTGTGTGCTGCCAGCGCAGCGGGTCCTGACCAGCCCTGGGAGCTCTCTCATCCGAGGCCGTGCCCTTCACTGCACTGCCTTCAGAAGGGTCTCTCTCCACGGCAGCCTGGAAGGGACAGTGTCATTATTTATGAAGTGCCCACTGGGACCACTGGCTGGGTCTTCAATGAGCGAGTCCCACCAGGCTGGCCCTCAACCCCGCCCCCAGAAAGACATTGCAGAGCAGTGGTCTTGGAAGGGCTGCAGGAGCCCCAAGTCTTCCCACCTGCCCTCCTCCCCCTGGAGGAGGCCTGTCCTGCTCCCTGCATCTCTCGCGGGAGTGGAATCTGGATGGGGAGTTGGAGGAAGATGTGGACCTGGGGAGGGGAAGCCTCCCCACCCCCCCGCCACGACCTCCCACCCCCATCCTGGAGGTAGTAGATGGCTGAGGCCTCCTTCTCACCCCAGGTACCCAGAGCCAGGAGAAGACGCTCAGAGGCAAACTTCCCCCTTCTCAGGGCTTGGGGCTGTCGTGGAGCAAGGGAGCTGAACGCCAGTGTGTCCCGGGCCCCAGCCCTCGGGAACCCCATGGCCCCGTGGCCGTTCACACTGTGCTCTGAGCTTCCTCTGAGCCTTGCCCCAGCGGAGGACTTGACATGACCTAGACACCCCATCCTCCTACACACAGGGGCCCCCCGCCCTGGTTAGCTGGCCATTAGTCTGAAAAGGCCGTTGATCCCCAGGGGACGAGGACTATGGACCCCAGCAGGGGCCTGAGAGCGTGTACGCACACATATGTGTCTGTACTCGTTCCCAGCTCAGTGGCCTGCAGCTCCAGCTGAGCCCCTGGGGAAAGGTGAGTTTTGTTCAGTCTCCCCCCACCACCCAGGTTGTAACATCTGTTCTCAGCTGTCTTTGCCAGTGTTGCCGGCTGGCCCCTCTCCTTCTACCTGTAGCTCCCGTCAAGGGTCCGAGTCCTGGCTGATGGTGTGTTCCTGCCCCAGTCTGTCCTTGTCAGGGTCATGGGCCTCCCTCTTGTAACTGCGATGGCCCTGATCTGTCTCATCTTCTGCAGAAGAAAAGTGGAAATGTTGCTGTGGCTTCGTATTTCAACTAAAAATATTTCTGTTGAAGAAAATAATTAACAATAAAGATTTTTAATAGTTTGGCTCATGAGCTGATTTCCCCGCATCACGTGGACTCTGCTGCTGGGGCCCGCCCTCTCCAAGGAGGGGCAAAAACACCATGTTTGCTAGTTGAATTGTCATGACCTGGAGTGGAGCTGGGGGTTTGGGAGAATTCCCAGATCTACCCACCCCAGCTGACACGTCTGTAGGAAGGGGGAGCCCCCTTTTTGACCTGGAGGTTCCCAGTATTGTCCTAGTCAGTAATCCTCAGACGTGGCCTCCCCCCTCCATGCTCTTAAGCAGACACTGAGCACCCCGTCTATCCAGACACCCCAACATCCTGTGTGATGGCAGTGGTCTTAGAATGCTTGTAACAAAACTCCAAACAGAGTATCCGTCCCGTCCATCATCCCAGAAACAGAAGATCCATTGGTGTTTGGCTGTATATTCAAGTTCGGAAGCTAAAGTCATTTCTGCTTGAGGAATTTTTGCTTTGGAAGCATTTTCTAGAATTTTTCATTTCCACCCTTCATCGTCCCATTTTAGGTCTTTATTATTTTTTTTCTGCTTACATGGACTCAGTGCTTCTATTTCCTTTACAAAGAATTTCCCTGGGTGCTGAATGCTATGAGGTTTATAGAACATGGGGACTGATGGCACAATCGACAAAATTAAATCTTAGGGGTGGAAGAGATGTTGGAGGTTGTCTGGCAGCGCATGTAGTAGCCAGATGTGTGAGTCCCCTCTGCAACATCTCAGAAAGGGCTTGTCTGGCCTTTGCTTGAATGCCTTGTAGGACTGGGGAACTCACTACCTCACAAGATAGCCCATTCTACCTTCAGGCAACTTATGCTCAGCTGTATATTGAGTTGGTCTGCCCGTCTCTGTAACTTCCTTTTCCAGGAAGGAAATTACAGTTCTTGAGAGAAAGACAAAAAAAGACAGCTGTGTTTGCCAAAAGCTACGAATCAAGGGACTCACGTTAGGTAAATGATGTATAGAATCTCCACACACCCAGCCGGTGTTCTGAGTGGCACTGTCGGTAGCTAACCTTGGACTTAATCAGCTCCTCTAAGCTGGGCCATCGTGCAGAGGGAGGGGTTGGCTGGCCCTGCTACCACCTGCCCAGCCCCCAGCAGAGAGCCTGGCACTGGAGCTGGGAGGGCGGAGTCTCCCAGCGCCGTCTGATGGGAATTAGGCTACTTCTGCAGGGGAAGGGGGAACACGGTGGGGGCAGGCCTGGGTCTCCCGGGGTCCGTCAGCCCACACAGCAGGCAACCTTCTGGGTCTACCTTCCTAGGTACAGGGGCAGGGGCCAGCAAAGACCCCGGCCTCAGGCTTGGCACTGCTGAGGCCTGAGACAGCTGGGGGCCAGGCTGAGCCTGGGGGAGGCCAGGGTGGGCTGAGGAGGGAGGCAGGGCACCTGCACTTGCTGGTGTTTCCCAGGCCTGGGGGGAGGGTGGTGGAGAGGGAATGAAGCCTTCTCCCTGGCCCCACAGTGAATAGCACCTGTGAGTGCTATCCAGGCTGCTCCTGCCTTTGAACAGGGCCCTTTGTGACAGGGAAAAACGATCCCTCCTGGGCACCTGGTTCAGTGGTGGCGGCTTCCGGAGCAGGGGAGCTCGCTGGGCCCCAGG